GCCATGTGGTGCTGGTGAGCCCAGCCCAAAGGGGCGGCTTAACCACTTAAGGCAGCATTCTTCACGGTTGAGCCAGAGACACCGGCTGTGCTCCTCTTCCTGCTTCCCAGCAGGATGGGGATAGAGCACTGCGACTGGTCCATAGGGCAGGAGCGGGAGAGCCACCGTATAGGTCAGAGAGCAAAGCCTACCACCAAGCTACATAGATAAGCCCCATCCACTTTTGGTCTGCCGGAAGGATCCTGTGAAAGGCTAGGAGAGGGAAGATGAATCACGGATAGGCTTCGCATGAAATCTCTCCTTCGAAATGTCTCAAAATCTTATACATACAGGAATTTGCATTGGGCATTTCAGACTTTCCTGAGGAAGGAGCACCCTGGCCCCCCATTTTTATTGGTCTGTCAATCAATACAGATTTCCCATCCTGACCAAGTCTAAACAGTGGCATTTACCTATTTAGGAATGGGAGTGGAGACCATCTGAGGCACACCCTCTTCTCGCCCTCCTCCACACACACACTGAACTCCTTCCAGATACATTTCTTCTTTTGCACCCATTCTCTTCCTCCTGCAGCAGCCCATCCTCATAAGATATTATAATGCCCTTCTTCACCACACACCACCACCACAACAGTAGTTTCCAAGAAAATGGTAGGGTCCTCCTCCTACTTTGACCTATTTAAGCCACCGCTTGTATGTGCCACTCTCCACTATTAGCTGGGATGGTCAATCTGCTCAAGTGCATAAGGTTCCTCCTACTGACTGTTCTAGCAACAGGCCTCAACCCAAGGAGATGTACGTCTTGGAGATGAAGGGTCTGATTTTAATGCTCATCGCTGTATATGTGCAATGAGTAAGTAGCCGTGCTGTCTTATGCATTCAGCTGTGGCTGGATACAAAGCTATTTTAGCCCTGGGCCTTGTGCATTTAAGGTGAGTGTGTCTACCTGCACATGGCTTGGCATAGATCTTTACCATTGGAACCACTAGCATTATGCTTTCAACATCAGCACTCATGTCCTTCTGAACACTCAGAGCAAAACTCTAGTTAGCAACCAGTTTGAGGATGGGGGTCAAAGGATCCCTGTGAAATGACACGTATGAGATCAGGAAACAAAAACCTTTTTATTAAACAAAGCCTTCTGACTCTTTTTTTGTCGTCTCAAAATAGAGCATAAATCAGTTAAATGATCAGCTGATGCCGTAGGGGCTGATCCAAAGCCCCCATCTAGGGAAAGGCTCCCACTGACTTCCCTGGGTTTTAAATAGTCCCTTAATGTCTTCTCTTCAGAATTCTGCTCACCTCTTGCTAAAAGCAGTAGGTTGCAATGAAAAAAAAAATCAATGATATTTAAGATGAAAATTATTTCTTGCCTTTGCCCCTAAAGGTCAAATGGTGCTTGCAGAATGGATTATAGAAAAGCAGGCCCATCTATGCATACTTGGACCCGGACACTTAATAATGAGCTTTGGGACTGCTGAGGGTGAAATTTATTCCAATGCACAGACCCTTGCATCACTCAACTCCCACTCTAGCCCTACTCTTGTGGACTTAAAATGGGTCTTAAGTGGTTCACTTGCCTGGTGCCAGGCCTGTGCCCATGGAGAAATTTCATTCTATGCTCAGTACAATTTGCATGATCAGGTGCTATGGTTGAGTAACATGGTATTTGCTTATTATGCTCAGCGCTTGTTTGCATGGGATAAAACAAGAGTACATTAAAAAAATTCAAGTAAAATAGTGGGGGGGAGGGAGGGGAAAAGAGTGGCTTGATTATCTTGGCCAGCCATGCTTCAAGGTAGCTGATCATTCTCTCCAACGAAGGGCATAAGCCGTCATTAGGCTCCATGACAGGCCTAGCGGGTAGCATCGTGCGCTATTTTGATTAAAAGAACATTTCCTGTATTCAGAGGGCTTGTTTCAACAGGCAAGCATCAAAGTCAACTAGGGGTAAGCCAGGATAATTAATCAAGAGAGAAGTTAGGGCTGAGCGCACACCAGATGGATTGATAAAGCCTTTCAAAGGAAATGGTATTCCCTAGGAGTGCTGATGCGCCTGATTGCCCGACTGATTGAGATTTGTGGGCACAGATAAATGTTTTCCCTGCACACTACAAAGAGTGGGAAACCTGACAGGAGTCGCAGGGGCAGTGGGATTTGGAATTACACTTTCACCTTCCATTTTGTGAGAGAAAGGTTCTGTGGCGGGTCCCACACCCGGGGCCAGATCGTCAGCTGGCATAAGTGTATCTCCCTTGACTTCAAAGGAATGCCGCCAAATCACACCCACTGGGGATCTGGCCCACTGACTCCAATGGAGTTGCATCAGTTTACACCAGCTGTGCGTCTGGGTCATTGTCTTGGGTCGGTCTTACACAACCCTGTTTCTTCTCATTTTTAATAGTGGCAGATCCTTCCCTCTGCCATCCTTGCATGGAAACTTTAAGGGCATCAATGAAGATGAACCTGGGCAGCAATTCCAAACATTATTTGCTGTGCATTTGTTGCAAAGATTTTTCTCTTCCCACCATCAGAGCTTAGCAAAAAGAAGTTTATCTGAATACAAGTTCAAGGTTGTCTCCTATTTATCTAGTAATCAATAAGGGCCACATATTTCCCACAGTCCCCAGAGCACTTTTTTTTTTTTTTTGAAAGGGGCTATTGTCTGATCTGGACACTAAAAAGGTAGGGCCTGATTCACCTTCACTGGTGTAAATCTGGTGTGATTCCAATAAAAGTTTGGGGACTAGGGACCAGATTCACAGCTGGTATAAATCAGCATAGCTCTATTGACTTCAATGGAGCTGTGACAGTTTTTACCAGCTGGGGATTTGGCCCAATAATTTCAATGCTGATACACACAAGCTGAGGATCTGGCCCCAGATTCTGATCTCATTTCCACTCATGTACATTTAGTGTAACTCCAATGACTCTGACAGTTACACTACCTTGTCTCGCTTACAGTTTAGAGCCGGTCTCTCAATATGATCATTCATTGTCATTTTCAGTAAGCCTTGAATGACAACAAAACAGCAAAAAATCATTTTGATTCAAGGAAGTTAAATTGACTTTGATGGAGTTATGCCAGAGATGAACTTGTCCATTGACTTTGCTGCACTTATCAAAGGCTCTGCATACCACCTTCAAAAGACAAGCCTGGGAGCTTGAATTCATAACTTTGCTAGACACTAAAAATCATGGTCTTCATAAAGACACAGGATTTATGATTTATTACAACAATCTGTAACCCACTAATCTCCCTCTTTATCCTATGACTACAGGGGTGTTAATGGGCCACTTCATCTTACATGGTCTTAGAATCTGTGTGTTAACTACTTATGCTAAACAATCTGTTCCATCTTATATTTAGCTGGTGTGACACTCTGAGTATCTTTCCCAGACCTGAAGAAGAACTCTGTGTAGCTCTTTCACCACCAGAAGTTGGTCCAATAAAAAGGTATTACCCTCACCTACTGTCATAAATATAAAGGGAAGGGTAACCACCTTTCTGTCCACAGTGCTATAAAATCCATCCTGGCCAGAGGCAAAACCCTTTCACCTGTAAAGGGTTAAGAAGATAGGATAACCTTGCTGGCACCTGACCAAAATGACCAATGAGGAGACAAGATACTTTCAAAGCTGGGGGGGGAGCGGGAACAAAGGGTCTGTCCGTCTGTGTGATGCTTTTGCTGGGAACAGATCAGGAATGCTCTTCAGAACTGCTGTAAAAAGTTAGTAAGCAATCTAACTAGAAATGCATTAGATTTCCTTTTGTTTAATGGCTGGTAAAATAGCTGTGCTGAATGGAATGTATATTCCTGTTTTGGGGTCTTTTTGTAACTTAAGGTTTTGCCTAGAAGGATTCTCTATGTTTTGAATCTGATTACCCTGTAAGGTATTTACCATTCTGATTTTACAGAGGTGATTCTTTTACTTTTTCTTTAATTAAAATTCTTCTTTTAAGATCCTGATTGCTTTTTCATTGTTCTTAAGATCCAAGGGTTTGGGTCTGTGTTCACCTATGCAAATTGGTGAGGATTTTTATCAAGCCTTCCCCAGGAAAGGGGGTGTAGGGCTTGAGGGGATATTTTGGGGGGAAGACGTCTCCAAGTGGGCTCTTTCCCTGTTCTTTGGTTAACACGCTTGGTGGTGGCAGCATAGGATTCAAGGACAAGGCAAAGTTTGTACCTTGAGGAAGTTTTTAACCTAAGCTGGTAAGAATAAGCTTAGGGGGTCTTTCATGCAGATCCCCACATCTGTACCCTAGAGTTCAGAGTGGAGAAGGAACCTTGACACCTACCTTATGCTTTTTAAAACGAGTCATAATAAATCAACACAGCTTGGTGTTACATCTTCATGCTAGTCATTTTTGGGGCCAGGTTTTAAGAAGAAAATGAACTGGATTCACAATGGGTGACAGGTGTTGGGCTGAGAGCTCTGGAGACTGGAGTGAAGTCCTCCATATATACACTGAATAGGCACAGCCCAAGCCATGCGAGGACAAGCTTTCCCCTAAACAGATCTGCCAACATGCCTTAACTCTGCTCTGGGATCACATATAGAGGTAGGTGAATAGCTCACTCTCCACAGCCCATTCACGCTGGGCCCTCTCCTTTGAGTCTGCCATTAAGAATGCCAGTTACCAACATGGACACTTGTGCACTATGAACAATCCTGAGACCACCCATTAATTTCCACGCAAAACATTCAGCTGCTGTGATTTATATTATGCACCAGTCATCCTGGTATTTAGGGCTGAATATCCAACACTATCCACAAACAGCAACACACAGGCCTTTGGATCAGCTTTTGTGAATTCTGATGTGGTCCCTGAATATCACTCTTAGAACAGTGGAACTGAGAAGCAGACACTGGGGTTTATTCACCACCAGATGTATTGGATTAAACTCCCATTAGCAGTAGCAGGCGTACCAGGGAAGTACACCCTGAACCGTTCACACTGAGAGAATCCTATCCCACTTTCCCAGTATGCGCCATTACCTGTTTATTGGAAGACATATTGGTTAATGTACTGATGCTGCTGGTATCTGTGACCACCATGGCTGATGGAAACCGGGAAGTGTGGGAATACTGGGGAGGCTCCTGCTTGTGTGCATACACTATGAAAATGAAGAGGACAGACAGCAATCATATAAATGTCTACAGTCTTCATGCAGATGCAAAGCAGTCAAGCCAAAAGGTTTTCAACACATTTGTGGGGGCTTTTTTTGGAAAAACAAATAAGAAGGAGTGCTCTGCATCCTCCTTAGAGGTCTGGAGAATCCACCTGATTTCTCTGCAGCAGCAAGCGGAGAGATTAAAGATTAAAATGGCCTGGTTTGATCCAACAGCTGTAGACCCTCAAACCACTTTCTGGGAGGCCATTCTGCTGGAGAACCAAATGTACAAGCCAGACAATGAGAAGGAGTGCTGGACAAGAGCATTGGAGGCAGTGCAGGAAAATATCCTAGATGAAGTCAGTGGGAGTTTTGTTTACCAGGCTGACCGGGAATTGGAATGCCTCATGATCATTAAGAAGCAAGCTCTTTGTCCAGCTGAAAAGTGTGAAGCAACTTCCCATTCTGTTCTCCTCAGACAGGAAAAAGGTAAAAATAATTCTTAACTCTGGTTGGTTGTTTTGAAGGGCTTGTCAAAAACCGTTCGATAGAAAATTGTTTTTTTTGCAAAAAAAGTCTGCTTTCTGAAGAAATTTTGGATTTTTTATCAAATAATGGAATTCCCCAAAACTGAAATATTTCAGTTATGAAATGCTGCTGCAGTGCCTCATGAGAATTGTAGTTCAGGTTCCTCATGCTTTAATTCTTCTCTATGGCTGGTCTCCTCAGACAAACTTCATATCCCATGGTGCACTACTACCATATAACTGCCATGAGGTACTACCTCCTCTCATCAAGATGAGACAATGATGCATCTTGGGAGATGTAGTCTAACCAGGGACCCTAGTGGAGAGAGGAATGGATGCATGAGGTTCCTGAACTACAACTCCCATGAGGCACCACAGTGGTATTTCACAATCTAACTATTTTAGTTTTTGGACAAAATATTTTGCACAAAATCCAAATTTTCTGTGGAAAACATACATACACCCCACCTCCTTTTCTGACCAGCTTTAGTGTTTCGCAAGATACTCCATCTGCTGCTGCTGTCAAACCTCAGTTCAAGGACCTATGTTATATTCACCAACCAGCTGGCCAAGAAGAATTGGAAGAGTCTTCCCCTCACAGTCTCTGCTACTCCTCAGTTGGCCAAAGGCTTATTCTTTAGTTAAATGAGGCCCCTGGCTGCCTGGAAAAACTAAAAGCCAGGTATAAAGGCCATGTATTCCATTTGGCAAAACACCTTGTTAGTCACAAGGACCAGGCCAGCCTGCTTACTGACTTTTTATCACCAAGGCAAGGATGTTTTAAAAGATTTGTTCTTAAGCCTGAGAACATGCTACAGGTAAACTACACCTGAAAATGCAATAAACATAACGGGAGCATACACTAGTTTACAATTAGACTGGGGTCTTGGAAAATAGTAAAATTGCAATTCACTTATATTATGCAATTAGGCATCTCAACCGCATTGTACATTTAAGCATCTTGCAGAACATGATTCCCCAATAATTTGGGGAAGGAAACCCTGGACACAAAAGATTTCTTACTCTAATCTAGGTCATAAAGTTGTTGTTTTTTTTAAATGATCATGAGAGTGTAAATGTATTGGACACAATCTGAAAATTTTTGTTCATAGAACTATAATATGAGAAAAACTCAACTGAAAAAACATCAACAGACATAAAAACAAAGGCATCATTTGAAGAACATACAGGTAGTTCATCCTCCCCCACATACCTATGTTCTAACTTCCTCCCCGAAGTGCAAAGACCATAAGAAGTAAAAGGAAATGGTTGGGATTGTCAAGGAGACTAAGGGAGTTAGGCACCTAAATCTTATGGATTTTTACTGACTCTCTTTGAAAGCCCATGCCAATAAATACAGCCATATGGAAAAAGTTATCATCTGTCGCCTGCCCAAATGTCCACAGAGCTAAACCTGTTTATTTTTCAACACCTGCCTGGCCCCCTAACTCCAATAATCATGTTGAGTGTACCTTAAAAGGGTGGTCCTATCAATTGCGGTTAGAGAAGAACTCAAAATTTCCTTGGATAGCACACTACAGGCAAGCACAGGCGCTATGGGGACACAAACAGAAGATCCTCAAACAAATTCTGCTCTGGTGTAAATCCAGAATAACTCCGCTGACATTATTCTGAATTTATGCCCGTGAACGAGAGCAGAATTTGGCTCCTGGATTTGCAGACTGGGGATGAGGAATAAGTTTATGCAGAGGGAAGGTGCACTCTGTATTCTAAAAGAGGAGCAAATACATGTACTATGGAAGGGTGAGACGGGAGGGGTGTAACAATGGGGAGTGGGCAGCATTAATTGCCCTGTGTTGGTTCCCTCTGATGAAAACTGAGTAATTTCCTCTTTGGGTTCTCACATAGTCCTGAAAGGTGAAGTTCTGGTGTTTTCATTCCCCTGTGCTCTCTGGGATTAAAAATTCTTCCATAGTGCAGCCTTTTTATCTGACTGTTTTAGGGCTGGAGAGTCTGAGATTCCCCCCTGAATCAATCTACTTTGGAAAGGGAATGTCCTAACACCTGCAGGAGAAGATGACCCCAGTCATGAGTTCGAATCAACGAACTGGAGGGGTGGAGAGGGCAGGGAGGGGAGAAAGCAAAGTTAATTCAAAATGTATTTATGACAATTGGCAGTTATAATGCAGCTAAATCCTTCCCTTCAGGCCTCAACAAATACCTGACAAGATCCTTACTGTGTGAATTCTGCAGCTGCGTCACTGTGGCCATAAAAGGCTGCTGTGTCATATGGCTGGGCGACTGCTGCATGAGTGGCTGTTGATGAGGACTGTGTAGCTGCTGGGAAAACTGGACGGGTTGTAAAGCTGCCAGACTTCCGGCAACACTGTTGATAACAGGGACGCTCTGTGCCTGGGAAGTATTTAGACCTATGAGAACAGAAGAGAACGAAACAACATGTCAAGATTTCAGTGCAGGTGGAATCAGAAACAGAGACAGCTGCTGCAGTGGAATAAAAATTGAGATGAATGTTATCTTCATACATTGGAGATACCCACAAGGGTTGTGCTGTATGCTGTCTGCTTCTCTCTGCAGTACAGCAGGGTGTGCAGTAAACCCTAGTAAAGGAAAATCAAAGGGTTTTATCCCCCTCTCAAATACATCTGTTTTCACAGCTTTCAATGGAGTTCCTCATAGTTTATGCCTAGAGCAGCTGGTCAGATCAGGTCTTGAACACACTGGGTGAAATCCTGGACCCACTGAATTTAATGGCAAAACTCCCATTGTCTTCAACAGGGCCAGGATTTCACTCATGACACAGAGCCACTGCTTCCCTTCCCCTCTGAACTTGGTGGCGAAACACCATAGCATGCGGCAAGACCACAAAGTGCACCAGTGCTGGAATGAAGAACATTACTGTACCCAACTGGAACCACAGAGGAGGGGGGATTCAGAGCTGCAGAACGGAAGTTACTCACATACTGCTTCTAAACATACCAGCCAAGGGGATAAAAGCCCCATCAACAGGAGCGTACTGAAACTAGAGAGTGGTGAGGCACTTACTTTGCGCGATTGCCATGACGCCAGAGAGCGGTGTCATGATGAGGTTCTGGGACTGTTGTGGGTTGTGATGGGGCAAGCTGTGGATATTGGTCAGGGTACTTACAGGGGGCAGCCCACCTCCCGAAACAGAGATCTGTCAAGAAACCAAAAGGGACAACAGACGTCAGAGGTGCAATGGACAGGAGCTGGGTGACCAAACAGCTCCTAGACAAACAAAAGTGACTTTGGCTAGGGCCAGCCATACAGAAATGACTCCCTTCATGCATGATGAGGCTGTTTCACAGAAAAGACAAGCAAAATCATCTCATGGAAAGTGATCCAGTCAGTCGGGGGGACTCCACAGTTTACATCAGTTGGAAGCTCTCTGGGACAGGAACTCTCTTTTTGTTCTATGTTTGTACAGTGCCTAGCACGATGAGGTCCTGATCCATGACTGGGGTTCCTAGGTGCTACTGCAGCACAGTTAAATAAACCACAACAGCAACAGAGAGAGGCATTTCAGGAAACCTGCTTCCACTGCTCCCATCAGTCTACCAGATCCTAAATTTTGGATCCTCAAGTCACACTGCAAAAACTCATCTTTTTGCCCAGGCCTTTTCTGAGTAAACAGCAATGTCGCCAATTCTTGAGAGTTCATTGCAATTTTCTTGGTATTTAGTGTTTTATTCTTAAAGCCTCAGATCCTGGAGTCATGTGATTATGGGAGAGTCAGAGGTTTCATTAAAAAAAAATAAAATAAAGCACAAAAAACCCAATAACTTTCTAGCTCTCTGGTTACAAAGGAAAGGTGAAAAATTTGAATAATAAAGGTTAAAAATACAGAAGGCAAAGAACAGACCCCACATGTATTATTTTTAAAAATTTCATGAATTTTTAAGCCAGTTTCATCATTTTAGGGGGCCAGACTCATGATTTTTGAACTGCTGCAGCTGGCAATACTGAAACAGGCTATATGGTGGAGGAATGCTAGTTAAGTGACTCTGGTTAGGTTTAGGATCCAATTCAGCAAGGGACATAAGTAAATGCCCAACTTTAAGTGTGTGACTTGTCTCATGGACTTCAAGGGGACTGCTCATGTGCTCAAAGTTACGACACATGCTTATGTGAACGTCTTGCTGAATCGAGGTCTTGATGTTTCAGACAGCAACCCAACTGCTTATACATGGGTGCCTGAAATGAGGTTGTTTAGGCCTGGTCTGGAGGGGAGATATGTCCCACTTACAGCCATCACTATAACTGCACTATTGCAAACCCTGGTGCAGACAAGGCCAACTGCTTGACATCACAATAAGCTTTCCCAGTGCATATTGTGGCTTTCCTTGTCTGCAATGGTGAGGGTTTGCACCAGTGGCTGAAATTGGGGTCCCTGATGCAGGCAAGGATTCAGGTACCTAAACAAAACCAGTCTAATTATCAGAAGTGCTGAACATCCACAAATTCCACTGATGCTGATGGGAGTCGCAGGTGCTCATCCCTTTGAAAAATCAGTCCAGTTTTATTTAGATACCTCAGTATGGATTTAGGAGACACTTCGGGGTCCCCGGTGTGAAATTTTTGGCCTCAGTTTACGAGTGTATCTTGCACATGTGAGCTTGAGATGGGCCTATCTTTAATTGAAACAAATATATCAGTGGATTTCAGAACATGAGAATGAGTCAGATTTTCTTATCCGATATTTTCCCTCTTCAAAAAGTTCCTCAAGGCCAGCTTACACCACAGCAGGTGTGCAAGTCAAACAATCAGTCACAAAACCATGGAAGTCTCTTGCAGTTTGGGCTAATTTCAAACTTGAGATTAGGACCAAAAACTTGAACCAAAAGAAACCGCTAGAGATCACGTGACCAAGAAAGTATTCAAACCACATCATTAAAACAACCTTCCACTGTCATAAAACAATGACAAGCCCAAACTCCTTATAGGTTCAATAGCATGTGCCTCAAACAACAACATTATTTTAAGCCGCAATGACTTCCTTGGCTGTTGTTAATTTGATATGAGATATTAGAGAAACATGTTTACACACTGGAAACGACAGCCCACAGCATATTTGTGTTAAATAACTTGCAAGCACTAGCTAGCTCTGTGGAGGAGATCAGACATAAACTAGATAACAGCTCCATACGAATGGAGGACCATAAATGTTGTTGATGGTGCTGTACATCCTACACTTAAAGGGGCTGGTTGAGCACTGTGTCAAGCTGGGTAAAAGCTTTTACTGCTGTACATGTTTCTGTGATGGTTAAAATTGGTTCCATTTCTGCTGTAACTTGTTCAATTTCAAACAAGCACCGGCGTGCTTTTTCCCATGCTGCCCCTCACACTTGGGAGGAGCTGCCTGTAAACATCTGCAAAACGACCTCATTGTCCTCCTCCAAATCCTTCCAGAAAGCTCTCCTTGGCTGTGATGGGCTACAGAAACCTTGTTAACAGTTAGGCAGCTAGAGTGCAGAGACCACTGGCTATCATCATGCTGACCAATCTCATCTAATTGTGCTTCCTCCATCTGTCTGTCTGTCTAAGCACCTGCGGTCTCTTGCATAGGCCCTGACTCTGTGGCTGCTCCGGGGCTGGAGCACCCATGGGGAAAAATTGGTGCCCCTGCCCCACCCCAGCTCACCTCTGCCTTCTCCCCTGAGCACGCCACTGAGTCCTGCTTCTCCCCCAGGCTCCCAGCACTTGCGCCGCAAAACAGCCATTTCGCAGCAGCAAGTGTTGGGAGGGCGGGGGGAGAGGAGGGTGAACACGGCATGCTCGGGGAGGAGGCGGGGCTGGGATTTGGGGAGGGGTCCAATAGGGGCATGGAGGGGGCGGAGTTGGGGTGGGGACTTTGGGGAAGGAGTTGGAATGGGGCCGGGGCAGGGCCGGGGTGGGGGCAAGCACCCACCAGCGCCGGAAAAAGTCGGCGCCTGTGGTTTCTTGTCTTATACGGAGACTGTAAACTCTTTGGGGGCAGGGACAGTCTTTATTCTGTTTGTACAGCGCCTATCACCACGTAGTTCCTCTCTGTGACTGGGGTTCCTAGCTGTTACTGCAATACAATAAAATAAATAAGGTGTTTGGGCTACTACTTCAGAATACTCTCCTGAGTTTTAAAAGGAAAGGCTCACAATGCCTTATCAGTCATTTTATTCATTGATTTTTAATGCCTGATGTGTCATCTATTCTTCTGGATTATTTTTTATTATTATTCGTGATCTGCTTAGAAATGCATCTCCCAAATTTTTGGGGCATGTGAAATCTGAACATAGGGCGTCATTTGAAAAATCCAGATCTCTCTTTGCAGTGAGAGTCAAACCTAACATTCAGATTCAAAGGCTTCACTGTAGGAAGTTGTTAGGAATCTGGATTCAAATTCTGTAGCTTGGGCCCACTGATATTTATTACCATTGCCCCATACCTTTTTTCAAGGCTCTCATTAGGGAAGTACCTGAAGCCAGTTCCCATTGTCCTAATCTATATTATGACCAGGACTCATTTATATTTCAAAAGCCTGCGTGTGGGCCACCATCTTGTCTCTCTCACCAACAGAAGCTAGTTCAATAAGAGAGATTACCTCACCCATCTTGTCTCTCGAATACCATGGGACCAAGACAACACTGCAGGTCACCATCTAATTAACACATTGGGGAGTTGAATGGGGACCTCCAGAGTTAAATGCATAAGCTGCTACAGCTTGAACTACAGAGCCTTGTTTACTGGGTCTGTAATTAGAGCTTGGCATTTTCAAAATGTTAAAAAATAAAATTGGGTCAGACCAAAGCCAGAGGTTTTTTTGAAATTTTTTGGGAAATTGAAGTTGAAAAACATTTTCATTTTGGGTCAATTGAAACATTTTGTTTAGCTATCCACCGTTCTGAACTGTTTTTGAATGTCTTAAAAAAAGAGAGATGATTCTGATATAAAAAAGGCCCTTTCAAACTGAAAAAAGGAAAAACATTTCAATTTTTTAAAGATTTTCAGACAATTAGGTGAAATCGACATGAATTGGCAAAATGTTTTGGTGTCACCAAATCTGTATTTTTTGCCCCCCCAACCCCCCGGAAAAAATGAAGAAAAAAATGAAAAAGAAAAAGCTTTGGCCAAAACTATTCCGCTCAGCTTGAGCGGTAACAGATTCCCATCCTCCGTGAACCAGGTGCGGAGGAGGACCAGTAACACACATCGAGCAGCAGGTTACGAGTGTAGGTGTTACCCGGGATGCGTCTGTGTGTGTTTGTCCGTGTGTGTGTGTTGGGGTCAGAGAGGGGAAGGGGCTTGCTTGTAAAGGAACTGCTTCCCTGGTGAAACTTAGAACTTTGGAGGGCTTAAGGAGAAAAAAAAAATGAATGAGCATTTTATCAACACGAATGTCAGCGTCAGCAAAAAACAAACAGTGATCCACCCTCTGTGCTACTTTACAAGGCATTCAATCAATAAAATGAGAACGGTCCTGTGTCAGGTTTATTGGCTGGGTTCAGAACGTACACCACTACCTGGCGGGGAAAGCTCTGGTCCAAGCGCTGCCTTTGACTCATGGCAGCTGGGATTTATTTTACCCCGCCCCCCAGCCCTACAATGCTTCATTGTTTAACGTGGGCCTTGTGTGAAACTTTAAAAAAAAAAAAAAAAAAAAAAGTCTTGTTTGTTTTGCCTGCTGGGCCCTCTTATCTTATCAGCTTTGGAACTACAATAGGCCAGGTGTACTCACCATTTTACCATCAGGTGAGAGTAAATTGTGGCCCGGGTCCAACCCTGCTGGAGAAACCTGCTGTAGGACGGACTGGCTGGTGGTCACCATGGCGTTGTTGCCGTGGTGACTGATTGTCGAAGAGGAAGTGACCTCATTGTTCCCCTGCTGGCTGTATCGGACTCCTGCAAAAACAAGGCCAAGAGCAGTGTATTAACAACCCCCATCAGCCAGACAGTCATAAATAGGGTTGCCAACTGTTTAATTGCACAAACCGAAAAACCCTTGCCCCGCCCCTTCTTGGAGGCCCTGCCCCTTCTCGGAGGCCCCCCCCCCACTCATTTCATCCCTCCTCCCTCCATCGCTCTCTCTCCCCCACTCTCACTCACTTTCACTGGGCTGGGCTGGAGCTGAGGGGGTTCGGAGTGTGGGAGGGGGGCTCTAGGCTGAGCCTGGGGCAGGGGGTTGGGATGCACAAGGGCTGTGGGGTACAGGCTCTGGGAGGGAGTTTGAGTGCAGGAGGGAGCTGAGGGAGGGGATTGGGGTGCAGGAGGGAGTGCAGTCTCCAAGCAGGTGGTGCTTACCCCGGGTGACTCCCGGGAAAGACCAGCATGTCAGCACCTAGGCCCAGGGACAGCAAGGTGGCTCTGCGTGCTGCCCCTGCCTGCAGGCGCCGCCCCTGCAGCTCTCATTGGCCGCGGTTCCCAGCCAATGGGAGCTGCAGAGTCGGCACTCAGGGCGGGAGCAGCGTGCAGAGCCCCCGTGGACATCCCTGCATCTAGGAGCCAGAGGGATATGCTGGTCGCTTCTGGGAACCATGCGGAGCCAGGGCAGGTAGGGAGCCTGCCTTAGCCTCTCTGCACTGCTGACCAAACTTTTAGCAACCTATTAAAATCTCCCAGATTGGTTTCAGTAGCCACCGGGAGATTGATTCCAATTCTGGGAGACTCCCAGCCAATCCGGGAGGGTTGGCAACTCTAGTCATAAAGCATTTTCATTATATACGACAGGTTAAAACAGCAGCAAACAACAAGTCAGCATGAGATGGTGACATTTCTGGGGAGAAAAAAGGACATTTTTCATGGCTTTTATTTAAAATAAACAATAACAATAATAATAAAAGACACCAGGGATAAAACTCTTCTGATACCGCATAGACAGAGACATCTGTACATCCGTTACCAAGGCGGCCACGATAGTTCATGATCTTGTTGCTCTGTGCCTTTGTTACTAGTCTTACATGTGTGCTTGCAAAAACACCAGGCCTCATTACTGGTGTTGTTTTCTTACAAGGAACACACGAGATGGGCTCAAGCGGGACCTCAATTCCTAACACTCCAAAAACTCATGAGATAGAGCTCTTCAGAGCCAGAGATTTGCTTTGGGTCTGTTTTTAATCTTCTACGCTGATTGAGAACAGTAGAACTCCTATCCATGCACCACAAGAGATGGGAAAAATTGTATATGAACCCACAATGTTTGGGCAGGTGGAAAGTTGGGGGTAAGTTTTGGGTTTGCTTCATCTCTCTAATCACTGACGACAAAAGCAGTGAGAACAAGACATTGGGCAAGGGGCTTGAAATCTTTTGCGCCTTAGCTCTGCTCAGTTGTGTCTTCTGTATCACTTAGAATCCGGGTCTCAGAGTGGTTTTGATTTGTTTTGCACTTACTTTCTCAGACCTGGTTTGAATCAATTTAATTTGCTTTGCATTTGCTTTTAAATCTCTCGTTTTGATGGCACAGATGTAGGAATTCTGAAGTAAAGGCAGGAGTGTTCGGGCTGCTCAATCACATGCAGTTATCCATAATGCTCTTCCTTCTAGCAAAGAGTTATTTCATGACCATGTTAAAAAGAGTCCAAGCAAATCGGTGATGCACGGAATCCAGTGCTAGGTGCTTTGCTAGCCAGAATTAGGGAATGTTTCTCCCCTCTCTTCCAGAATTCAGGTTAGGGCAAAGTTTCCAAGGTGCCCTCAGCCAGGTCTCAATAATTGCACCTGCAATTTAGTTTTCATGATTATTTACTTGTGTAAATCAGACAGTTGGATGTCTTGCCACCCACAATTTGTGCATGCAAGTGCGATTCCTATGTGCAAATGCAGCATTTTGCATGCAAAAAAGCCAGCAACCAAAACTCAGAAGGCAACTGTAAACCACGTTGGTTTAAAATATGTTGCCCTTGTTGCATTGGGATTTGCTTTTACACCACCTGTTCTTTTAGACAGGTTACCCACTACTCTGCAGTCACGCCATCTATTGCATTGGACCAGTGACAGGCAGAACGAGAGTGCTCAGAATATGCACAGCACTGTTTAAGCCTGTCTAATTGCACTTTATGCAACATGTATTCATTGCTGGGCTGAGAGGCGTTTCAGGGCTGTAAAACCCTTGATGGAGAGCTTTTGTGCAAGAGCCACCTTTCCACAGATGTTTACAACCCCCCCCCCCCCCCGAAACAGTAAAAGCTAGAAAGCCAACAAGAGAGAAAGTACACAATGCGTGCTGACAAGCTGGCATGCATCCAGGAGTCAAAGGCCCAGCGTTTATTTTACTGTCAGTCAAAGTTCTGTCCCAAAATGGGTTGTAAAGACAACCTAAGCGGAGAAGGCCAAAGCTAGTCAAGGACTTGCAGGAAAGCACATGGAAAAACGATGTCACCTCTGATCTAGTCCCAGCTGCTGTTATTTAACTGCAGACTTGACAGCAGGCGTGGGGACTCACACAGGAAGAACACCAGCACTCACTTCCCAGATTCCCCTGAACCCAGTACTTATGTCACTAGAAATGCTTTTAATTTTAGTCCTGGTGCAAGATGCCAGACTGGCGCCCTGGTGACTCAAGGCCTCTATTTAACTGCACAATGGAGACTAGCCGAGCAAGATTCACCACCTTGTTCCACCTGTGACCGCCCCTCTCCTTGTGGCTGGGCCATCTCTCAGGGCAAGAGGGCATTTCATGTCAATTCAGTTCTTGGCCTTGCTATCTTGGACCCTGATCCTGAGGTGAGATCTGTGCAGATGTACCCCAGCAACATCCAAGAGCACCACTGGCTTCAATGGGGTCTGCGTGGGTGCAAGGGTCCACCCACTGGGAAGCCAGTTGCAGCGTACCCTTCACCCTGGTATCTGGGCCTCTCTGCTGAGACAACCCAACGTGCCAAAGAGAATTACTTGTGATGATGTTTCTAATGACATGGACACTCTCCCCACTGTAACAGGAAAGGAACCCCTCCCCTCAACTAGGCTACAACTGCAAACAAGGTAACGTACTCAGGAACTTGTAAGTGTTTATGACAACATTTAAAAAATGGGGGACAATCAGGGCCAAAAATTAACTTCAGTGTTCCTGGTAAATATCAGGGTTAATACTGGGGAACAGGAGGACAGAAAAAAGCATCAAATAAGAGAAAAATAAGAGTACTGAAAGTCAAAGCAGTTGAATGTATAGTTTACATATATTAACAGTATGTACACACATGTACCATGCACGCACGTGTATGTATTTCCCACCACATTGCTTTACTTTAGCAGACGGCCTTGCATTTACGCTTTGACTAACTTATTATGACCACATTACCTAATGTTACGTACTGGATTTTCTTACCATAATCAGTATTTTCATGTACTTAAATGGTCTAAAATTTGGGTGAAAACCAGTAAAAACCAAGAGTCTACGCTGCGATCATGACTGCAGCTTGAGTTGACATCCCTGAGCTAGCTAGCCTGGGCCCCTGAGCAGCAAAGCCACAGCAACGCATGCTTCAGCATGGGCTAGCCAGCGAGTAATTCCCCAGGGTTCTGGACGGGCCATGCTTAAGACTGTGCGGTTATGGCTTCACGGCTCCAGTACCCAAGCTAGCAACGTTAAAAGTAGCTCAGGTACAAGTCAGGTCCCATGACTGCAGCATAGACATACCCACAGTAATAGCTATAGATACAGCTGCACACTCCTGTCATGTACTGGTTTGGACAGTGAGGTGAGTGAATCTGTGTCCCATGAGATGACTATTCCCCCTCCTCCGGCCTTCAGCTCCTGATTCTCTCAGCTATCAAAAAGTTTTCCTAGCAGCCAAGTGCAGTCTGGTTCTGACTTCCCTTTCAGGCCTTTATGAATCACGTTTCCCCTCCTGACTCAGTCTTGAGACACTTATGAGTAACAGATCGTGTCAGGGAAATAAAAGAATGACAGCTCCAAAGGGAAGAGGACATCTCAGCCCATCAAAGTCTACATGCACCAACAATCCAGTCTGGAATTAGCACAATGCTTCAGTATAAATATATTTAATTTGGCTAAAAAATCCCCTGCATTGATAACCATAGGACCTGTAGTGTGTCATTGGAAGGCATCTACAGCTGATCACAAATAATTAACTGAGGAAACCCACTGGAAACAAAAGCTGCTTTTACGAGGCCACCTTGGCAAATGCAGCATAAAAGCCATTTATTATAAACAGTCAAGCGCTACATATAACAAACAGGTTTAATACACTCTCTGGGGAGATTGAACTGACTGGTTATGATAGGTACAGGACTGGCAGCCCTGGAGCTTGATTGCCTCTGTCTATTCACAGAACAGATACAGCATGGGCAGCAGAGATGCAATTGCCTCACCATTGTGCTTCAGCCCTGACGGAGAGGGACACCACCTCAAAAGGGTCTGAAAAGGGTTCAGTCTCCAGGGCCCATTCCATCCTTAACCTCTATGCTGAGACCCCAGTAAGAATGCTAGTTAGCCCCAGCGGAGATGCAGAGTCCTGTCCAGTAAGAAACTGGAGTGAGACCACCAACTCACTCACACAGGCCACCGCAAAGCTTTGAGATGTGACGAATATTGACAACGTAGCGTCTGTCATTGCCGAGAATCCAACAGGGTTTTACAAACATCTTTGAAAGGCTCCCAGTTAAAGCTAGGTGAAATTTTTCAGCCAAACATTTCCCCCCCCACCCCCCACCAATAAAATAAAATAAAATCCAGATTCAGGGCAGCTGCAATATTTTGCAAATTCATGTCAAATTCACCAAAATCATCTCCGTTGATAATAACCTCCCCCCCCAAATCCCAAGACATTGAAACATTTTATTTCGACATTTTCAAGATGAACCATTTTGATTTTGCAATTTGAAAAGACTTTTTGTTTGGTAATGCACTTCAATTTCATTTTAAAAATGCTTTAAAAAGCTCAAAA